TTAGTATATTTACAACTATGCAACCACAAGCACAAGTTAATTCTAGAAGATTTTCAGCACCTCCAAAAGAAAGCCCTACTCACTAGCAGTTACTCCCCACTCACCCTTCCTATAGCTCCTGGCAGGTATTGATTGAATGTCTGTCTCTATATATTCCACAAAAATGGAATTATATAATTTGTAGCCTTTTGTCTCACTTTCTAGTTGCTTTTTTTTTAATTCCATGGTTACTTGGATGTTTTGTTATATTGAGCCAAATTTTAATTTTTTGCTCTTGCATGCATATATGTTTGCAGGTATGTATATTTACAGATGAATGTTTACAGATGCATATGTATGACTGTGCACATATGTGTGTGCATATAAACCTAAATTTTCCTATATTAACAATGCTTCAAATGATGACACAAACTCTAAATAGGCCACGGAAGCCTATTTCATCCATACTGTGGTCCGTCCATCTCATGCCAGTAGCACTGACCTGTGCTTAGGATCCTAGAAACAGGAACTTCCAAGGATCAGGAAGAGGAAGGAGTGTTTTATTCAGCATTTATTAAGTACCTTCTAAGTATTAAACATGGAGGACAGAATGTGGACATGATAGTCCAAGACAGAATATAGAATGTAGGATAGAAAGTAGACACTGATCAACCTGTGCCTTTCCATTGTCCCAAAGCCTTCAGTGCCACCTAGCACTTAGGTTCAACTCAACATCTTCCTGTAGATGCCTGACAAGACCCTATATTTTGGGCTGTTGCTGACTTCTCCATCGGTATCTGATTTGCTTTCCCTTGCTCCCTCAGCTGCACACTCCAGGCATGCTGTAACTTAAATAGACCAAAAGTGTGGCTCCCTTTGACCCTGGCAATTTCTGTTGTTCTGTTTAGAACATTATTCTCCCAGGTATCACTGGAGCCTTCTCCCATCCTTCAAGCAATAGCTCACATTTTGTCCTCAGACTTGTCTATTTGAAATGGCCTCAAATTTCCCTCTAGCTCACCAGTTTATGATCTTGAAAACAGGACTCCTCAAACTTAAATTGTATACAAATCACTAAGGGATCCTGCTAAAATTCAGTTCCTTATTCAGTACAGCCAGGGAGGGACCATAAGATTCTACATTTCTAACAAGCTCCAGGGTTATGCCCATGCTTCTGGCCCCTGAACCACACTTTGAACAGGACTGCTTTAGATAACCTATTACATTTCATATTTATTTCATCAATTATATGTCTGTTGATAGTTGCCTCTCCTTATTCTGGAACGAAGACTTATTTGCCCATCTTGTAGACCTCTGCAGCCCTATCACAAAAAATAGAAGCATGTAGTAGTTATTAAATAAATGCAGACCTTTCAAGTGTGATCAGTGTTATACATGGCTCTCTGGAGGGAAGGAGGTCTCTCCAATTTGCAGAACTAAACTTTGAAGAAGCATTCATCAAGTCTTTTTCTACTTCTATCCAATGTCCCCGCTGTGATAGCTTGGCCTCATTTACCCAAGTTTTCAAAAGTCTCCAAGATCAAATAGTACCTTTTCTTCTTCCTACTCTCTAAACTGAGGCCCCCAGGATGGCTGGCATTGACCTTGTGAAGAGGCAAGCAATCTGATTGACATGTTTCACAATTGTCTGAGGATGACTGCTATAACTTACTACTGTCTATGGTGGTGCTACCATCTGGCAAAGAAGATTTTTTTTATCTAATTGTATTGTGCTGTTTCGCCTACTTGAAGTATAAATATTAAGCCTGGGGAAGCTAGCAAAGAATCTAAAACTCCTTGACTTTTTTGTTTTCTGTAATATTGAACTCACAAATGATGTGCATGCTAGGGGCAGCTGAGGATTAAAACATGGAAAAAAGATGAGCAAAGATGGAGGTGTGGCATGATTCTCTGCATCATTTGTAATGTAGTACCTCCCAAGTAAGGGTTGATGGAGCAGAAAGCACAATGTTCACAAGGGATCAGACTAAGGATGCTGGAATCCTGTCTACGTTCATAACTGCCACTTACGGAACTTACATAACCTCTGTAAACCTTCATTTGCAGAATGAGCTAACAACACACGTACCCCTTGATGTGCTCTGAGGATTAATGAGATAAGTGCTAGGCAACTAGTATGAGCCCAAAGATGGTAGACGTTGGTATCATCTCCTGATTAAACATGCTGAATCAAAGGACAGGAAGAACAGAGCATCCAATCTGATGAGGAGATACAGCATTTCTATGAGGCTCAGGCTTTCTAATATTTTTGTTAGAAAGTACAGTATCAGATTATAAAAGGAAGTGGTGGTGGCAGAGGTGGTGCAGGCTGTAAAAATTTCACAAAGTGACCAAGTCATCTGTGCGGAAGGAATTTGTCCGTATGTAAACACTCATATGCTTCTAAGACAGTTGAGTGTCTAATGTATGTCGGACACATCAACTCCTTTTGTCAAGACACTGCCAGCCAAACTTGCCTTCCTGCATTTCGGTTCATGTTGGCTAAGTGGTGCCTCCTCTTTTCAGCGTGACTCCTCTGTACGCACCAGCCAGTTGAGGATACGATTGAGCAGCACCTGACTTCAGTGATGAACAAAAGATTGTCCTAAAAAACTGTGGTTCTCAATCTGGGGACTATATCCCTCCCCGGGGGACATTGGCAATGTCTGCATGTCACACCTGGGTCTGGAGGGCAGTGGGTTACTAAAGATTCCACATGGCAAATGATAACCCCCATGACAAAGGATTGTGTAACTGAAAAGGTCACTAGTGCCCAAATCATAATACTAAAGCTAACTAACTAACAAGACTTTCCTTTGCTTAAAGTGGCCAAGTGACAACAGGCAATAGCTTCTCAGTGGCCTCAGCTGTAGCATTTCATCCACAACCTCTCAGTCTGTCACCAGGCAACACAGAGGCCTGGAGGGACAGCTCTGAAGAGAAGCATACATCCCAAGCAAGCACTAATTTCCCATTTATGGTATATTATGGTGTTCTCCTTGTTCCTCCAAACCAGTTTGGTTTGAAGATTATCGCCTTGTTGACACTAACCCACTCTATGAGACTGACAAGCCCACACACCTTAGAAAGAATCTTTTTCTTACCCAGTATCTGAGAACCTAGGAGCAGTTTAATAAACAGAATGATGGAAGGTTCCTTGGCACCAGTTTATCTGAACAAAGGCCAATAATAATCTACTCCACTTGAAATCCTATCAGAGAAATGCATTACTTCATTAAAGCAATTAAGAGAAAGCATCACAAATAGACAACAAGTGCCACCAACACTGATTAAAGAACACTGCCCAGTGATCTCAGCCCTGCAAAGCAAAATCTAGTGACAACTTTGCAAAGGCCAGTTCAGAACAACTAATCCTTATGGACATCAAGGCAATTCTTTCACTCCAAAGAAGCAGTTCAATAGTGAAGGTCATGGGTTTGTAGCAGCCACACAAAGGAAAGAAGTAAAAGCAATTAGACAAAATGGATGCTGTAATCCCACTTTTCAGGCTCTGGAGCAAGGACACTAAATCCCAAAGTCCCCACTTTCTGGCTTCACTGCTGAGAATCTTGGAAGCAGATCCCAAATGAAAATTCCATAACTTGATTTCACTCTTACCAATGCTGACTCGAGTTTCTTAGGAATGTCGACAGCCTTGGGAGGTTAAAAAAGCTTACCAAATGCACGGGATGATGCTATGAACTTTACACTTAGGTTGGAATCCTGAAAGTATCCTTTCAACGCTCACAAGGGTTGCTGGATACACAGGCAGACTCGCTGTACTGCTTAAAAAGCTTACCCCAGAGTAGAAGAAAAGAGTCACACCCATGGATGGCCAGGATTTTCCAATGAAGTGGAAATCCATGGACCGGTATGGTCCAGCAGCTCTGGCATCACCCACTTGGAGGTTGGATCAATGTGGAGAATGTTGGCTCCACTCCAGAACCACTGGGTCAGAAACTGCAGCCACGTTAACAGGAAAAACACTGATCTATAGCAACCCACGGGACTTTTTTTTTTTTTTCTGCCTTGTCCCAGTCTGAGTTTTCCAACAGGAAGATGGAGCTATAACAAAGAGCGTACATAGGAGAAAAAAACAAAACAAAACTTCAGGAACGTAGTTGATGTGATCATGGAAATGGGGGTTGTTAGAGGGAGTTGAAGCTCTACATTTCTGCAGTTTTCCTTCTAAGACCACCATTTCGTCTTTTGTAATCAAGGGAAAACGGTTTTCAAACGGAGCTAATACTGTCTCACACATCACTGTACAGATGGTTTTTAAAGGAACCGATTTAGAAGTGCCAGCACAAAGCTTGCCACTCTGTAGAGCAGATTCTTCAGAGATGGCAGGTGAAGTGGACAGAGCCAGCTTGCCTGCGTCTCCCACCACGACAGCGGGCGAGCAGCTCTGGTCCCCGCAAATTCGCCTCTTAGACTCGCCCTCTGGTTCCGGAAAGCTCCGCCTGCTAAGCGCTGAGGTACATAGAACCTCTGGTCGCCCCTGAAGTTTCAGCAGGAGAGTCGGCAGCCTGGGTAACTTTCCCTGGAATGAAATAAATAAAGACCGTAAGTGCTGAAATAGCGGGCCCCTCGACATTTTTCGTCCTCTAGGCACAGAGGTCAAGAAAAGTGAGGGGAGTAAAACGTCCTCATCTGTTGCGAAGGGGCTCCGGGAAAACTGGTCTAGGCGAAAGCCCCAGCCCCAGCCCCAGCTCCAAACTCAATGAGATGATCTCGTCTTGCATATCGTCGCCTACAAAGAAAAGTCCAAGACGACTCGGACAGTAGTGCCCCGAGAGGGTTCAGGTTGGCGTCCAGGGCAGGTCAGTCTTGTTCCGCAAATTTCAGGGTGCCTCAGGGTCTTCCCAACCTCCTCTGCCTCGCCGACCACCTCTCCTGTTCAGAGGGAGGACGGGAGGCCGCCGAGGGAGGATGTTCGTGCGCTCCCTCTCCCGCAAATACGGCCAGAGGAGTCCTGTTCCTCGGGCATTTTCCGAGGAAGTCTGGAGCAATTAGGCTCAGTCCGGGGAGAGCGAGCGAGCGAGCGAGCGAGCGGGCGGACGGCGCAGCCGGCGTGTCTGGGCCGCCTCGCAGAGAGGATAGGGGCGGCCGGCCGCCCGGCGGCGACCCCGGGCCCCGGCCGCCACCATGGGCTTCGAGCTGGACCGCTTCGACGGCGACGTGGACCCAGACCTGAAGTGCGCGCTGTGCCACAAGGTCCTGGAGGACCCGCTGACCACCCCGTGCGGCCACGTCTTCTGCGCCGGCTGCGTGCTGCCCTGGGTGGTGCAGGAGGGCAGCTGCCCCGCACGCTGCCGCGGTCGCCTGTCGGCGAAGGAGCTTAACCACGTCCTGCCGCTCAAGCGCCTCATCCTCAAGCTGGACATCAAGTGCGCGCACGCGGCGCGCGGTTGCGGCCGGGTGGTCAAGCTGCAGGAGCTGCCCGAGCACCTCGAGCGCTGCGACTTCGCGCCCGCGCGCTGCCGCCACGCGGGCTGCGGCCAGGTGCTGCTGCGGCGCGACGTGGAGGCACACATGCGCGACGCGTGCGACGCGCGGCCCGTGGGTCGCTGCCAGGAGGGCTGCGGGCTGCCTCTGACGCACGGCGAGCAGCGCACGGGCGGCCACTGCTGCGCGCGGGCGTTGCGGGCGCACAACGGCGCGCTGCAGGCCCGCCTGGGCGCGCTGCACAAGGCGCTGAAGAAGGAGGCGCTGCGCGCCGGCAAGCGCGAGAAGTCGCTGGTGGCTCAGCTGGCCGCCGCGCAACTGGAACTGCAGATGACCGCGCTGCGTTACCAGAAGAAGTTCACCGAGTACAGCGCGCGCCTCGACTCGCTCAGCCGCTGCGTGGCCGCGCCGCCGGGTGGCAAGGTAGGCATTAGCTGTATGCCCGCTGAGACACCCTCCCCCCAGGCCAGGCCCCTGGTGACCCAGGGCCCCGCCCTGTTCCTTTCAGTATAGGGATGCCAGGAGCATCCTTGCCAGCTCTTTCCCCAAGCGCAGGTCAGTCGCGCTCAACTTGCCTAAGCTCAAAAAGGACCGTCCCTTCAGGCTGGACACATAGGGCAAGGCCACGTACAGCCACTGCAGTTTTAGGGGGTTGCAAAGACTGGAAGGAACCCACAGCCTAGTGTAGGTTTAAAAAGAAGTGTGCAGCTCTGGAGTCAGATGTGTCTTCAGAGGCTTTGCCTTGCACACTAGCTGCGTGATCTCAGGAAAGTTGCATACCCTCTCTTAAGATCTGAAATCGTGGGCCTTATGGACGAGACACCCAGGGTGAACGGTGTCCATGCCCCCTCCGCGATTCCAGAAAGAATAAAGGAAACCTAGAGCCAGTGTGAAGCAGGTTGAGAAGCATACCGGCTTTGAGGCCAAGTCACTGGCTGACCTTGAGCAAACTGCTTAACCTTTCTGAAGTTGCGCACTGACGTTCCAAGAGGCACCCTCTGAGCTATTCATCGGGGGACTTCAGAACTAAGTGAAGGATCCCTTCCCCCCAAGAAGGGTCAAGGGATTGCAAATCTCCCGGAGTTAGAATTGTTTTCCAGTCTAGGCTTTTTTGCTAACCCGTAGAGTGACCTTGTGGCGTTATGTCCACAGGTGCCTCAGTTTCCCTGAGTGTTAAAAGTTGTTTCCTTCGGAGAGAGACAGAGAATATATTAAAAGGCCTGCCACAGTGCCTGTCCATGCTGAACACGTGTTACCTACAATTATTTTAAACATCTCCTCCTGAGTCGTCCCCTTGTCTGTGTAATTATAACAGCCTCCACTAAGTGCAGGCTTACTTTTCGCCAAGGCCCTGGTGCTTAGAGCTCTTTCCCATTCATTTCCTTTTTCGTGAAGAGGTAGGTGTGATGGTTCCCATTTCCTAGATGAAGAAAAGGAGGCTCATGGAGAGGCAATCTTGGGTCACAAATTTCAGTTGCCAGAGGTTGGGTCTGTGCCTTTCTCTAACCCAAGCTCTTACCACTATTGCGCACCTCTCAATGTGACCACTGGGAACCATTTATTTTGTGTTTATTAAGGGCCAGCCACTGTAGGAAGCACTTTTTGTGTATTCTATGTTTATGCCTTTGAGATGAGAAAACTGGCTGGGGACATTATGTGACTTGTCCAAAGTCAGTGACTAAGGGAAAAGAGCTGGATTCAGAGTCTACCTCGGAGAGTAGGCAGGTTCAGCGGCATTAAGTTCAGCCTCTGCTTGCATTGACATTTTGCTTTGGGTAACTCTTGGTGTGTGTTGGGGGGGCGGGCAGAGCCTGTCCTGAGCACTTTTGGATATTTAGCAGTATTCCTGGTCTCTACCCCCTGATGCCAGTAGATGTCCCTCCCAAATTCTAGCCACCAAAAATGTCTCCAGATACTGTCCTTTGGGGGACAATATCACCCAGGTTTAGAACCTCTGGTTTCCCTAATTGTAAGAGCCACGTTTTCAACAGCTGAGTGCTTCTGTCTGTCTGGAGAGGGGCATGGGCCCTGCTTCTGCCACTCTGGTTCCCTATTCCAGATGGCCTGGCAAAGAGGGGAACATATTTGCCCAAGGGGTCCCCAGGGGCCTGTGTCTGCTCTGCCTCCCCCTGCCCTCCCCCAGCCTCCCTCCTCCACCAGGCCTGCAAGTTTTCCAACCCCCTCCTCCCTTCCTGGCCCCCAGCCTGTCTGTCAGCTGCAGCCTCAGCAGCTGGCCAGCTCTGGACTAAGGGCAAATATTTACAGCTCCGTGGTTCACCCAGGACCGCACAGGCACACAAAGGACTGGTGTGAGCTCGCAAGTCACCCAAACAGAGGGCAAAACTTGGTTTTCAATCAAGCACCAGCTTTGGGGCAAAGGAGTTCCTGAGTTTCTGCTGTCATCTGGATTTCCTGCGTTGTTTTACAAGTGATGCTTATTTATAAATAAGCCATTCACTCCCTCAGAGTTTATATATCATTTATTGTTGAGCTAGTTTATTATTTCTTCTTGCCTTTCTGTTTTCTTTCCAGAATGTTTGGGTAAATGCTGTCTTAGAATCAAAAATACGATCCTTGAATCAAAACTGGGGATGTTTTTGAAGCTCTTGGATAAGTGGGGTAGAAAGTCAAGGGCATTAAGCCTGGGAACAACATGTTGATTTGAGAAAACAGTGAAAATTTCCTTCTATCATTAGAGCTGTGCTCGGGATTTTCTTGGTCTTCCAAGCCAACCGCAGGGACAGCCAAGGATAGCCTGGCCCTGAACCTGCCCGAGATGGCTTCTCTGGCCTCAGACCCTGGCTGGTGTTAGCTCAAGCTTGGTGGGGAGTGGGGGGGGAAGCTTGTTCCTCTTGTCCTGAAGTTGACACTGTAGGGCCCCTCTTCCTGGGTCAGCCCTGAAATCCCTCCCACTGGAAGCTGTTTAAGAACTTGTCTATTTCATTGGGCGACTTTCTGGCCCTGCTGGGTACTGTTTATTCTTTTTCCAAAAGGCAGAAAGATTCCTAAGGCCTGGATACTCTCATGTACAACACTTTCATTTTTTTCGAAGTCTTAATGTCTGCTTCTTGATTATAAGCTGACGGAAATAAACACTCAGTAGATCTGTAGTATCAGCTCTACAGCCTAAAATTCACTCCATACCTGATCTGGCCTTCTGTAAGTTATCTTAGTTTCTTGACCCCTGCTGAGCCCTTCAGGTTTGACAGTGTGGTACCTACACAGGCATTGTTTGCTCTGTTAAAATGTGAGTTAGAGAAGTACACTCAAAACCTTAGCAGGATAAGGCCCATTGAGCTTGTTAAAAACCACATTCCTGAATCTCAGCCCTAGAGATTCTCTATCAAGGCTGGTGTGGGGCCTGAGATTCTGCATTTCTAAGGAGCTCCTCAGTGATGCTGGTCCTTTGAGTAGCTATTGAACTAGGTAAAGAATTTAGGTTCGAACACAGACCTAGACCCAACTTGCCTTGGTCTTCTCTACATAGCAGTGATTTCTCTTATCATTATTTGTTTTTGCAGTGCTGGAATTAAACCCTCATACATGCTAGACAGGCCCTCTACCACTGAACTACATCCCAGCCCTGATTTACTATTATGGAAGAGAAGCAGTGTTGGAGATTGAACCCAGGGCCTCAAACGTGATAGCATGTTTATACCACTGAGCTACATTCTCAGCCCTCTGATCGTTGTCCAGAACCTCTTCCTAAACATTTTAAGACCAGGATAAGCCAGATGTGGCAGTGCATTCTTGTAGTCCCAGCTACTCAGGAGGTGGAGACAGGAGGATCATGGTGGAAGGCCAGGTTGGGCAAAAGCATGAGACTCTCTCTGGAAAAAAAAAAAGCTAGCAAGCACGAGGCTCTGATAGTACTGCAAAAAACAGAACAAAACAAAAAAAACCCACACTGACCACAGCTAAAGGACAGGTGACTGTCCAAAGAGACATCTCTAACTTGCCTGAGGCCACAACTAGTCTGTAGGAGACCTGACCTTGCCACTTAAGTTAAAGAGACTTGCTCCCAGCTTCAGTTTTCCAATCTGATTCAACCTATTTGTCTCTAAGGGCAAATCTGTTCCAGAAGAGTTTCTTTTGCTTTCTGGGAAAGGAAACATTCTAGGTAAAACTTTCTTTGGAATTAGGGAGAAACCTGAGAAACCTTCTGTTGTTCGACCTCCACGTTCAGTCTCCCATCAAATCCTGTGGCTTGTACAGCCTGAGTGCATCTTGAATCTGTTCGTGGTTCTCTGGCTCATTCAAACGATGACCTTGGTCTAAGCCAGGGGGTCCTCAGCCTCAGCACAGTTAACAGTTGGGACTGGGTAATTCTTGGCTCTGTGTGTGGTGGTGGAGGTGGAGAGGAGAGGTAGTTTTGTGCTTGGTAGGAAGTTTAGGAACATCACTGGCATCTACATATCTTGGGGAGTAGCACTTCCCCAGTCAAGAAAATCAGAACTATCTCCAGACGTTGTCAGATTGGAGGCAGAGTCGCCTTTGCCTTGGTCACCATCATCATCTCCTCTCTGGACCATATCCATCCTTACATATCCTTTTGCTGCCCTTCAATTCAGTCTTTATGTAGCACTGGGGAAAAATCTCTTAGAAATGTAGATCTGACCTTGCTCCCCCTTCTTAAGGCCTTCTTGTTTGTCTTGGGTGGCCATCAGGGCCCTGCATTCTTGGGATGCTGCTGGCCTCCAACTGCCTGGCTTCTTCTTTCTTCATTCCCTTCTCCCAACTTCACTGGTCTCTGAGGCTTTGTGGTTATGCACCTTCCTGCCTCTGGGCCTTTGCACTTGCTGGTTTTTTTTCTTTTTCCTACCTGAAACAGGTGCTCCAATGTACTCTTCTCTGGGTAACCTGCAAGTTTCCCATTTCTCTCCTCCTGCCCCTAGCCTTTCTGTCAGCACTTAGAGTTTGCTCCTTAGTAGGTCACCGTTCTTTCTAACCTTCCCATTCCAGCACCAGAATGCTAGGCTTCTCTGACCTCACAGACTACATCTGGTACCCTACGACTCTCCCTCTTTTATGGCATTCATTACAGCCATCACCAAATAATTGGGAGTGTCTGCCTTATTCAGGGCTGTGTCCCCACTACTACATCCACTGCTCTTGGTATCATAAACTCTGTTTTGTGGATTAAATTCAATATTGAAAGGGCTGGCTTATCAGCCATCCAAACTTTCAAGAGTAGACTTGTTAAAAAAGAATGAGTTTTTCTGTAACACCCCCCTCCAAACACAACCCCCACCCCCACCCCCACCCCCGTTAATAAAATTGTTTCCAGGTTTTTGGGAGCCATCATTTTTCTTCCATTTAGATCCACCCAGATCAAGTTGTATAAAGCCCCAAATCCCAGAAACCATTTGTCCATTTCAGAGCTGGAGATAAGTGAATCTAATAGACAATTGTATCAAAAGGTG